GAGATGTAGCTCAGTATTAGAGTGTTTGTCTAGCATGTACTAAGGCCCTGGGTACAATACCCAATACAAAAAAAAAAAAAAAAAGAAGAAGAAGAAAAGAAGAGTATTGTTAGGGATTTTCCTGATCCAACCAAGGCCCCCATAGGATTTGCTAGAGAATTTGACCTAAATATCCAAACTTTTGATCCAACCTTTATCGGTTGGTTCACATGTTAGTTTCTGAAGGARGAGCTAAAGAATGGTTAAAAAGGCATTAGAGGATTTTAACAATGTAGATGCAAAAAGGTGTAACCAAGCTTGCACTTTAACTTTTCCAAAAGGTGGTAAATTGAAAGAGAGAGAATAAGAGAGCAATGACAACAAAATGCAGACAAATCTGTGCTTATTACAAACATTCTTTGGGAAAAAAACTTTCAAAGGCTATTTTGGAATGGCTGATGGTCAAGTTTTAGACCTATTAGTAACAAAAAACTCAAATCATTGACTATTATACATTCCTGGACATTCAAAAGTAGATTCCCCTGAAAAGAAAAGCAGTCATCTAGTAGATGTTATGCATCCTAGATCTGAAGGACAAATTTATTGAACAGCCTTCATAGTTACTGTTAAAAGAGGTACAAAAAGTCCCTGAGAAGCAATTACAAATACAGAATAGTAAAGGAACAACTTTCCCCTTTAAAATTAGTGTATGGTACCCCAAATGACAGACCAATTCTCCCCGTGGGATTTTAGTTACACTTCTTACAACATATCCATGAGTGAACTCATTGGAATCCTGATATAATGATAACCTGTGTATAACAATATTATTGGAAAACATCTATTAGAGTTGCTCAAAGGGTGTATTCCCATTGCACTGTCTGTCCCAAATGTAACCCTGGAAAGATACTTTATGGGTCATAAGGACAATTCCTTTGCCCCTGGGACCTTTTGAGATATGACAATCAAAATTTGTTCATTTGCTACCATCTCAGGGATATGAATACACTTTGGTAATGATTTGCACTTTTTCTCGTTGGGTTGAAGTACTTCTATGCTACAGAGTCATGGCCCAAATGGTAGGAAAAATCCTATTAGAAAAGAATATTTCTTCTTGGGGAGTCCCTTCTGAATTCCACTCTTAATGGCAAACACATTCCTTTAGCTAAATAATTCAGCCTATTTGTAGGCGAATGGCCAATGTTTCAACATTTTCATTATGCTTATCATCTTCAGTCATCGGACTTGGTAGAATACATAAATGGAATAGCAACAATCCAACTGGCAGAATTGACAGTTTTAAAAAATGTTTTATTACGACATTGTTCATAATTGTGGGGTTCATTTTGACATTTTCATACATGCATGGAATATAAATTGCTCCATTTTAGTTCCCAGTAATTCCTCTCTTCCACCCACCCCCCACGTTCCCAATGTTCCCCTTCATCTACTTCACTGGTCTTCTATTTTTTTAAATTGATGCTTTATAGATATGCATAACGGTGGAATTACTGTGGTATATTCACATACGTATGTAGCATAATTTGCTCTTTTTCATTCTGCAGTTCCTCCCCATCAAATCCCTTCCTATACCCCTTTGATCTCCCTTCTGTTTTCATGGAATTCCTGYCCTTTCTTCTCATATTTTGCTTTAGTTTCCTCATGTGAAAGAAAACATTTGACCTTTGACTTTCTGACTTATTTCACTTAGCATGACATTCTCCAGTTCCATCCATTTTTCAGCAAGTGACATAATTCCATTCTTTTTGGTGCCTGAGAAAACTTCATTTTGTGTTTTTTTTGTGTGTGTGTGTGTGTGTGCATTACATTTTCTTTATCCATTCTTCTGTTGATGGGCACCTATGCTGGTTCCCTAACTTGTGAATTGTGCTGCTATAATCATTGATATGCCTGTTATCACTACAGTATGCTGTTCTAGTTCTTTTGGATAAATACCAAGGAGTAGGATAAATAGGTCTGCTTCTGTCAAGGTCTTACTAAAATTCTTGCAAAAAAATTCAAAGTTGAGTAGTTCCATTCCTAGTCTTTTGAGGAATCTGTATACTGCTTTCCACAGTAGTTGTACTACTATGCAGTCCCACCAACAATGTATGTGTACCTTTTCTCCCATATTCTCACCAGCATTTATTTGTATTTGTGATGATTGTTATTCAAACTGATGTGAGGTGAAATCTCAGTGTTTTTTTTTATCTTTTTCTTTTTTTAATATTTTATTTATTTTTTAGTTTTCAGCGGACACAACCCGGGCCGCACGCCTACCGCTTGAGCCACATGCCCAGCCCCCTCAATGTGGTTTTGATTTGCATTTCTGTGTTTGCTAGGGGTGTTGAACATTTTTTTTTKTGTGTGTGTGTATATTTGTTGGCCATTTGTGTTTCTTCTTTTGAGAAATTTGACAGAGGTTTCTAACCTTCCCTGACCAAAGGCTATCCTGCTGAATTTACTCAACCTTTGTTCCACTCCATTTGGAAAACACCAACTTTCTCTTTGAAATAGCAGGGAACCCCACGAACYTACCTTAATATATCCAGGTCTTCTCAAAAGAGAAATTCTCCATTACTGTAAAGGTCTTACAAAACTTCTTGCAAAAAAATTGCAAGTTAACTAAGGATTGTTTTAACAGACAGTTCCTGGGAGACAAAGATATTATGAAAGATCACAATTTTCAACCTGGAGATGTTTTCTACTAGAAGTGAAATAAAAAGACTCTATCCAACTTTTTAAGAAGGGACACAATCAGGTATGGTTATACAGTTCCTGTGTAGCAAAATTAAAGGGCATGGACTGGATTTATCTTTCTCATATAAAAAATGGACCTCCTCTGGAGTGGACCTCCATACCCACCAGAGACAATGAAAATTAACTCCCAGCAGAGTTCTTTTAAAATTAAAATAGTGTACAATTTAAAATTGTTTAATTGAACATATTAATAGTAATGTGAGGTTTCTACACAGGTATATATTGTGTAGTATTTAAATCATATTAAGCATATCTGTCTGTCACAGGTGAGTGGGGTGCTGAAGCTCCAAACTTTAGTTCTTGTCCGGATGAAAGAAAATTTAGAGTCAGACACTAAAAACCAAGCATGAGAATTTTATTTTAAATGAAAGTAAAGCTCAGCAAAGATTACTCTCAAGAGAGGAAAAGAGTGGGTTGCCTCTGAGCAGAGAACCCAAAGCAAACTAAATACTACTTCCAAATGTATTACTTATTTGTTTGCCCTGAGAACTGAGGTCTGTCTTCTGCAGCTTTCTGCAGCAGTCAACAATCAGATGTCTAACTCCTCCTTCACTCTAGTTGATCCTTTCTGGAACTATCATTGCAACCATCCCATTCAGGGGGGCTTCATCTATAAGCAATTAAATGTTAATGTGGGTTCTGGGGTCAATAACTGGGCAAATTTCATCTTAGTACATCTGTGCTACTGAAGAAATTTCCCCCTGATACACACTGATAAACCTATGGCCATAAATCCTAACTGTACAATGAATGATCCCAGTTAACCCTGTTAGGGGTTATCCCCATCACGTTTCTTTCTTGAAGTATTTCTTAATTGACTCCCCTCTTTTGCACCTGCCCCTGGCTCCAGGTTAGTACTTCTGTTGTTTTTCTACAAGTTGTTTGATTATTCATTAGTCTTCAAAACAATTTAAAGAAAACCGTGATCTTATGTTGTAGGTTTGCTTCTAATGCTGATTACTAATTACTACCTAACACCTTCAAACAGTTATCATTTCTTCCTGGCAGATTATGACTAGCTCTACATGAGGTGAAACTTCAGTCATCTGGTATAGTCTGACCTAACTTGCATGTTTCTACAGACTCCGAGATGCTTTTTTCCTTCTTACCATAATTCTTAAAAGGAATGTATAACATAAGTGAAAACCAGCAATTGATGTCCTGTGTTATTTTTGTCAACCAGTGCAATATTTGAACAACCTGTTTGCTGTAACCTTTTTGTTGTTTGTCTATAAAAACCCAGGCTTCACTGGGTGTGGAGCCTGCCTGTTGTCACACTCCTTGGGAGGCTGAGGACAGATAGTTTGAGCTCAGGAGTTAGAAGCTAGCCTGGGCAACACTGTGACACCTCTCAAACACAAAAACAAGCAGCAAAAAATCAGACCTCTCTTATGCCATTTTGGGAATACTTACTCTACATAAGTAGAATTCACCGCCACAGGTGGCCATCTTAATTTTGGTCTCTAATAAAACTTTCCGTTCTTACTTTCAGTGTGCCTCAACTTAACCTTCAGGTTGAAATACTATCATCAAATGTCTTGCCTTTTGAATGTCTTTTTTCTAAATGCCTCCCCACCCCCACCCCTGGTACTGGGGATTGAACCAGGGACACTGAGCTTCATCTGCAACACCCCGGGCCCCGTCTTTTTAAGTAATGTCTTTTAAATAGATTGTGTCTTCTTACTGCCCATACTGGCTTTGGAACTTGCAATCCTCCTGCCTGAGCCTCCTGAGTAGCTGGGATTACAGGCATGCGCCAACCCACCCGGCTCTGGGCACCTTTCGAAGTAACGTGATAATATGCCTAGAAATGACTCCTAATGAAGGAAAAAAAAAAAAAAAAAAAAAAAAGGAGGCCCAAGATCCCCATTCTTCTACAATTCCCTGAAGTACATTTTCTAAAAAAAATTGCACCAGTGACGGCAACAAGATGAAACTATTTTTCCCTAAAATTTGTTATACTGTTATTAGTGTACAATTTAGAGACCAACGCGGAGCCAGCAACTACACCGTTGCTTTGTACTAACACCGAAAAGAGGTATCCAAAAGGAAGAGCAGCTGCAAAGCTCCACCTTCCGTCCTTTGTACACGCAGAAACTCAAAAATAATCCCAATGAGGTCGCCAACACTGTGCCTTACCCGCTCCAATTTATCACCGCAATTGGCGTGGGCATCGCGTCAGGTCGCGACACCGCCTCCAGGAACAACACACCACAGTGTGCGCCAAGGCCGGAAGTGACGCAAATCCGCGACGCCAGCGCTCGCCGTCCGCTGCTGCTGGAGTCAGATTCTGTAGCTCCGGAGACGGCGGGCTTTCCCGGATGGTTGCAGCGAAGGGATCATGACKGGGAAGAAATCTTCCCGGGAGAAGCGGCGCAAACGAAGCGGCCAGGATGCGTCCGCGGCACTCGCGGCCCCGGACCTCGTACCGGTCCTTGCCAGCAGCGGCAGTGGAAGCACCAGCGGCTGCGGGAGCACTAGCGGTTGCGGGAGCGTCAGCTGCTGCGGCAACGCCAGCTTCAGTGGAAGTGTCACCGGCGCCGGGAGCGGAGGCAGCTGCTGGGGCGCGAGCGGCGCGGATCGTGGCGAGCGCCGGAAACGGAGAAGCACCGACTCTTCTTCCAGTGTCTCGGGCTCTCTGCAGCAGGTGCGTGCGCTCCCCTCTCGCCGCTTCCCGCAGCTGCTGCTGCTTCGGAAGAGGGAGGGCTACTAGACCCGGTGGGGCGGAAAGCCCCARGGTCCACTGGTTCCCGAAGTTCACGGTCCTGAGCCTTGATGAACCCACTCCGATGTCTTGAACTTCCAAGTTTCCGGGTTTAGTGAAACAGTTAACTTTGTTATTTTTTGAACTTTAGGTCCTTTCCACTCGTGGTCTCCTTTTTTCCCTGTAGAGTATGTATGGGTCAGGAGCTTGGTGGCCTTCAATGCCCTTGTGAGCCAGACGATTTATTTCTCTATCTTCACCTTTTGGGTTAAGATTAACTCCACCTGAGAAAAATTGAGGCCCAGAGAGGTTAAGGAGCAAGAGTTGTTAGTAGCTCCTAGATTTGAATCCATTGTCTGGCTCCACAAAAGCCATGTTTTTATGCACCATATTTTATGCAGGTTTACTAACATACCTCCATTTTAAAATTAATTTATAATTTATTAAAGAACAAATGAATACATACTTAAAGAAAAACTATGCAAGGCTCTCTTTGTGCCTCCACTGTAATAGTTGATAGGCAGCCTGTATGAGCTGAAGGAAGAACAGGTTATATTTGAGTAATTCAAAGGCCATTTATCTGAACGGGCCAAATAGTCTATATGATCCCAAGGGCAATGTGAAATCATTGATTTTGTTTTGTTTTGTAATTGGGTATTGAACCCCAGGGGTCTTTTATCACTGAGCTACAACCCCAGTACTTTTTATTTTATTTATTTAGTTTTGTTTACATGGTGCTGGGGATTGAACCCAGTGCCTCTCCAATGCTAGGCAAGAGCTTTACCACTGAGCCCCAGCCCCAGCCCCAGCCCCAGCCCTAGCCCTTAATTTTTATTTTGAGATAGGGTCTTGATTATTTGCTGGGACCAGCTACCAATTTACAGTCCTCCTACCTCAGCCACCTAAGTAGCTGGGATTACAGCCTGCTTCACCTGTAACGCTTGAGACTCTGGAGGCTGACACTGGAAGATGGCAAGTTCAAGGCCAGCCTAAACAACTTAAGGAGATTCTGTCTCAAATTTTTAAAATTATTTTTGAAAAAGGGCTGAGATTGTAGTCAGTGGTAGAGCACCCCTGGGTTCAATCCTCAGTGGTGTCCCTTCAACAGAAAAGAAAAAAGAAAATGAGTGTTTTAAATTACTGAAATTACTTGGTTGCTTGGAATATGATTAAATTATGTAACACTTTTAGAAATAGTGRCTTATGGTAAATTTACTGCTTATGATATTTATGATTTCTAACATTGTATTGCTATTTTATTTATGTGAATTTAAGGAGAATGACAATGAATACATGACACTTTTGAGTAATAGCTACTTGAAGGAATATCCTGATTCACCAAAAGTSTAAAACTATACTAAATGTTGACTGTATTTTCATTTGTTTGTCCTGCTATAACTTTCCTTAAAAGCTATTTCTTGAATTAATTGTACAATAATACTGAATATTTAAATATTCTTTCCTGTTTTAGATAAATGTGCAAAGAGGAATTTGGAAATGTTTAACAAACAGTTTGTTAAAGTGTTATGATGTTATGTACATGTTCTATGTATTTTAAGTAGTATTATTGAGAGTTGTATATTCTTTTAATTTTAGGAAACCAAGTATCTTTTGCCAACTTTGGAAAAAGAATTATTCTTGGCAGAGCACAGTGACCTTGAAGAAGGTGGACTGGATCTGACTGTGTCATTAAAACCAGTTAGTTTCTATATATCAGACAAAAAAGAAATGCTTCAGCAATGCTTTTGCATTATAGGAGAGAAGAAGTTACAGAAGATGCTTCCTGATGTGTTAAAGGTACCTTATTTCATTATCAGACTGTACTCATACATAGATAAACTCTGTAGCAATCATGTTACTGAATACAATTTATAATTGGGTGATACCATTTAAAACAAGCTACTAGAAGAGGTATAAGAAAAGGAATTTGGAGAGCCATTGATGACCTTGTATATTTAAAAATGTGCTGAGAAAAAATATTTTAGAAAAATTTTGACACTATGGAAATAATTCTGTTAAATGCAGGCAGTGGTAGTAACTACATAAGAAGTAAACAAATCTTTGTGGTACTTCAAGAAATACTGTTGTATAACAGTATACAATGATTTTTGTAATAACTTACATTTCATTAAATTTTCAAGAGTTTCCATATATTTATTTTTTAATATTTTTTAGGAAATATGTTATTTTGATTTTGCAGTTATAAAAGAGGACTTGAACAAGTTAAGCCCAAGATCATGTATCTAAAGTATATAAAGAATTGGATATTTAAACCTTTAGAACAATTAGACGTAACATAAATAGGCTATGATTAAGAATATCTAGAAACTGAATCACACTTTAGTTTCTTTAGCAAACATGATTTTATTACCATCAGGTGTCTCAAATGTACGAGTTAACTGACAGTTTTTCAGATTTCCTCCTATAAAAAGATATATGTGAATCTACTTGGGGCTTTAATAATTTGTTTTATTTTAATATTTCGTTGAACAAAAATTTTCTCACAATAGCAGTTTTCCTGTTGATATTGGACCTATAGTATGTAAATGCAATTTTTTAAAATGTCATTTTCTTTAGAACTGTTCAATAGAAGAAATTAAAAAACTATGCCAAGAACAATTAGAACTCCTGTCTGAAAAAAAAATCTTGAAGATTCTTGAGGGTAAGAATGCATATTTCTACATTCTGGTAACTTTTTATACTATTTTCAGCATAAGTCTTGGGTATATTTTCTCATAAATGTAACCATAAATTCATTTTKGGGGAATCACTGAAAAATATCTTCTGTTTGTACTGAGAAATATAATTTACAGGGATGTGGCTCAGTGGAAGAGCACTTGCYTAGCATGTGAGGCACTGGGTCTGATTCTCGGCATCACATAAAAATATATAAAAAAAGGTATTGTGTCCATCTACAACTAAAATTTAAAAAAAAATAATAAATATAATTTATATATCAGAATAGAATTTCAAGAATAAATTTGATATTTTTTTCTAAATCTCACATAGATAAGAGCATAAATTTGTACACTGTAATAGATAAAATTTAAAATGTCTACAAAAATACCATTAAAAATTACTGAGAAGATAAAGATTTTCATTAAAATAATTTTTAATTCCACTTTATATTCTTTATAACTTTTCGTGACATATTGCATGTTATTTCTGCTCTGATAAGACCCAGATGCAGAATTAGAAGAATTCATTGTGATTTGTCAATACTTGTATATCCCCTTGAAGTATGACTATTCTTTGTGATGCTGATTATTSTAGAATTTTGGATTTTCAGGCTTTTTTTTTTCTTTTGGAGCATCAAAGATTTTAATATTGGCATCACAGAAAAATAAACAAAAATTGGATATGCAATTTTAGACAGAACAACTTTTTAAATGTAAAACATTTAACTGTGTGTGGTGGCACACTCCTGTAATCCCAACAACTCAAGAAGCTGAGGCAGGAGCATTGCAAGTTGGAGGCTAGCTTAGACAACCTAGCAAATGAGACCTTGTCCCAAAATAAAATTTTAAAAAGGGCTGGGGAGGGCTGGGGTTGTAGCTCAGTGGTAGAGTGCTTGCCTTGCACGTCTGAGGCACTGGGTTCGATCCTCAGCACCACATAAAAAATAAAATAAAATAAAGGCATTGTGTCATGTACAACTAAAAAAACTTTTTTTAAATGAAAAGGGCTAGGGATGTAGCTCAGTGGTAGAGTGCTTGCTTAGTGTGCATGAGGCCCTATGTTCAATCCATTGTACTGCCAAAAAAAAAAAAAAAAAGAGGTTTAATGGATTTATACTCTGGAAATAGATGTTTAGGTWAGTATGTAGTCTTTAAATAAATAAAAATATGTTATTGTGTGTATGTGGTGAAGGGAAGAAAATGAGAAAAAAAGCATCCAGATTCATTTTAAATACAAATAATTGAAAATGTAAACTTGTAACAACTATAAAGTTTTAAAACATGCATCACTTTTAAAGGTGACACTTTTGTGTAAATGATTCTGACATTTTAAACATGTTTTCAATAGTGTATTTCATTTACAAGGTGACAATGGTATGGACTCTGATATGGAAGAAGAGGCAGATGATGGCTCTAAGATGGGATCTGATTTAGTCAGTCAGTAAGTTAAAAAACTTTCATTTTCATTTCAGAATTTATTCTTTTGGCAGTTCCTAACATCAAGGATATGAATAATTTTCTGTGTTTTATTTATATAAAATAATTCAATAATGCAATTGTTTACTTGTAATAATTGAGTATTTTAGTATATATGAAGATTTACCTAATTGCTTTTCAGGATTATAGTAATTTTTCATTAACTATTATACATAGATATGGAACAACAGTGATGCTAATCTGAAGCAGAATCACATCTCTTGTTTGGATTTTGAGTATACTATTCACGTTACCCACGATTTATTAAATACTTACCCTACCAAACACTGTAATGTCTGTTAATTTTGGGTGACAATAGTCTGATTTCAGAGATGAGCTTGTAAGGTTTATTTTACATACGTTTACATAATCTTTTACATATAGGTTTGGGTGTATACATACATATTCATATTTACATATATACGTGCATATATTTACTTATAAGTATGTGTAATTTGATTATTATGATGACAAAAGTGCCAGAAGTCTTGGGAAGCTTACTAATCAAGAAGCAATATGCTGATTTTTTTWAATTATTCTGCTTTATTACAGCATATCAAACTTTCATTCACTAACTTTAACATCTGTTGATGATTTCTTCCTAAAAATCAATTATTGTCTGGTAATTGCCAAAGACCAACATGTATCTCTCTTTGCAAAGCCTGACATTTTCTCAGAAGAGTAAGAAAAGCTTTGCTGTAYAGGCAATATCTCTAATACAAGATTACCAGAAGTAGTGATATAAATAAGTAGTACATACTTAAGCTGAAATCTAGAATTTTTTGATTTTTAATAGAAGACTGTCTGGTAAGCATCACCCAAAAGAACAATTTCATGTTAAAACTTAGCATCAAATTATTTACTTTTCCTAAAGGATTAAAAAGGTCTTACTATATTGTTTGATTGCCTCATAATTAATTGCTGGCTTTTGATCATCACATGCATCTTGCTTAGGGTGTTCCAGGGTGATTTATACTTAAATAGAAAATGTGCACATTTTTAATAGGTCTTATTATTGGTTTTCTGTAATCCCATTTACTTGACTGAATCAAGAGRTTCAAAAGTTTGAGATCAGCCTCTGCACCCTATGGAGACCCTGTCTCAAAAAAAAAAAAAAAAAAATTGTGCCGGGATGTGGTTCATTGGTTAAGCACTCCTGGGTTCAATCCTCAGTACCAAAGAAATAAATGAAATACTTAGCTGGGAATACTTTATATAATATACTAAGCTTCATCAGTTAGTAGCATTTTACAAGGCCTGTTACTTTTTAGTACTTTTGAGTTTATTTTTTCTCTTTTGTGGAGATGGGGATAGAACCCAGGGCCTCATGCATGCTCTACCACAAGCTTCATCCCCAGCCCTAAGTTTCTTAAGTCATCTTCATCATTTTGTTTCTTGATGTTGCTTATAGAATTCTAAATTGAATTTTTATTTGGCTGCATTAGTTTTTCCCTTTATCCAAATCTATTTTTTCCAGTTTTGAGATATTAATATTTAATACCTTTTTTCCCCATACTTGAGCACTCATGCCACCTTTTCTACTGTTGAAAGCCATTGAATGGATGCCTAGTTAGAATAGAATCTAATTCTCTTAAACATTACAACAAAGTACGGTACAGTGCTTGCCGTTTGAATTATTGTAATAAAAATCATGTCTGTCTGTCTGTCTCTCTCTTTTAAAAAAAAAAGGTATTCAGCTATTTCAACAAAATTTATGGGCTGGGGATATGGCTCAAGCGGCATTGCACTCGCCTGGCATGCGCGGGGCGCTGGGTTCGATCCTCAGCACCACATAAAAATAAAGATGTTGTGTCCACCGAAAACTAAAAAAAATTCTCTCTTTAAAAAAAAAAATCATGAATTAATTCAAAATGACTGTTGAGAAGAACTCATTCATACAATGTAGTTATAAGACAGGTCACATGAACTTTTTTTTTTTTTCTTAATGTGGTACTAGGCATTGAACCCAGGAGCTCTCTACTACTGAGCTAAATCTGTGCCCCATTTTATCCTTTGTGTGTGTGTGCGCGAGTGTGGTATTGGAGATAGAACCCAGGGCTGCTCTACCCCCATCCCCATTTTTTTTCCTCTTTGTTCGTGTATTATACATAATAATTGGATTCATTTTGATAAAATCGTACATGCATGGAATTTGATCTACTCCATTTCAGGGCCCAGTGTCCCCTCTTTTTCCTCCCTCCCTCCTCCTATTTTCCTTCCTTTACTGGTCTTCATTTTACTCATTTATTTATTTTTCTATTTATTTTTGGTACCTTATAGATGTACATAAAGGTGAAATTCATTATGGTATGCTTATACATTTACATAGTATAATTTTGTTAAATTTATTTCGCATTTCCTCAGCCCTTTTTATTTCTTGTTGTGAGACAAGGGTCTCGCTAAGTTGCCCAGGCTGGCCATGAACTTGCAATCTTCCTGCCTCAGCCCCCTAAATAGCAGGGATTACAGGCATGCACCATTGCACTCAGTGACATTAAGTTTTTGAGTGCTATAGTGAGTGGATTGAATAGTCATAAATACAGGTTGAGCATCCCTAATCCAAAAATCTGGACTGCAGAATCCAGACTTCCTGAATGTCATATCAGTGCTCAAAATGTTTTGAATTTTGGATTTTGAATTTTCAGATTAGGGATATTCAATTGGTAAAGTTTATATAAATATCACCAAATCTAAAATACTCTGAAACCTGAAACACTTCTTGTCACAAGCAATTTGGATAARGGATACTCAAACGATATTTCCAAAAGCTTATGGAGCTCCTACAAGCCAGATCATTGAGATTCTTCTGAATGACCTGAGAATATGTATATTTCTAAATCAAATTTCTAAGCTACAGAATATTAAGAAAACAGCATTGTGTGCCAGGMACTATTTTAATTCTTTTGTATACCTTCATTCATTGAATTTGTTACAACAACCTTACAAGGTGGGTAAGTATCATCATCATTCTACAGAAGGAAAAAAGAGGTCCTAGTTGATTTGTGTGCCTTAGATTCTACAGTTGCTTGTGAAAGGTGGAGGCAGTGTTATTCATTTGTAAAGTGAAGATAAACCTTGTTTCTTAGAATTATAGAGATTAAGTGAGCTAACTTGACTAGTTTGTTCTTATTAATAATATGTTAATTATGAATGAGGGAAATGTTCTGCAAAGTGAAGCAAAGAAAATGGTAAAAGGAGATGATATGGAAATATAATGCTTTTAACCTGACTTTTCTTTTCCTCCTATTTCCTGGAGTAGGAAAATTACCTAAGTGAGTAAACTCATGCAGCCAAAAAAGGAAACGTGAGGTTTTCAGTTGTCCTAAGACATCTTAGAACAAGTTTATGCAGGGAACTTCATTTACCTTGGCATTGAGCAAAATCTGAGGCATTGGGTAAAAGCAGGTTTTTTTTTTTTTTTTCTTATTAAAGCCTTAGAAGGCTGCTTAAGAGGTCTTAGCTGGCAGAATCCTTTGAATCCTCTTGGAATGTATGACACTTTCCTGTTTTCTTTTGTGCTTAGAGGGACAATTCAGTCTTCAAACTTCCTTCCTATGCTTCAACAGAAAATTCAGTTTAACATGTTTTGTGCTTAAAATTCCCATGTTTTCCATAACCTGATGCTTTTCCACTCAAAACAGTAGTCTGACCTATCTGGATGCTGAGGGAACAGTCAGTCATAAATAGGTAAAAAATGAATTAAAGGAATTGAATAACTTGGGTGTGGAAAACTARACTGAATAGCTGGAACAGGCAACTTCTGTTGGGCCCTGAATTGATAGAATATAGGAAAGAAAACTTTAATAAGGTAATGAAAACCTTCAAGGAAATAAGAACACAAATATAATTTCAGAAACTAAAGAAATTCTGATTTCTAAATTTAGTAGACAGACTGATAAAGAGATTAGTGATGATTAGGAACTGAAGCATTGTCCTGTAAGATCAAGTTGTTTAAATAGATACAGAGTGATAGAAAAACCTCAAGAAAAAAAAAAAAAGAATGTAAATCATTATGTGTAGTTCATGGGAGCCTGGAAGATAATTTTAGAAGACCTATCACGCAGATAAAATAGCTAGGAAAGTCGTGATGAAATGATATTAAATGTTTTAAGTTAAATACTTGCCTTAAGACTGTAAGTGCAGAAAWAATGAGGAAAGATCTTGTTACAGACTAAATTGTGTCCTCTCGAGATTTGGTGTTGAAGTCCTGTCCCCCGGCAACTCAGAATGTAACCTTATTTGGAGATTAAAAGCAAATAATGAAATTAAAATGTAGTGGGGAATGCCAATCCAGTATGACTGGTATGTCCTTATAGAAAATTTGAACACACTGACAAGACACTAGAAACTAATCTATCTGTCTGTCTGTCTTTCTGAGTGCTTACACTTCTGAATTGGGGGAACTGCCTTGCTGGTGCAGGTGGTCCTATGAAGCTAATAGTGCCACACAGAAGCTTAAGAGAACCAGCTATTGCTGTCAGACTGAAAGGATGTAGCTAGGAAAGCACTGACAGAAATAGCAAGCAAATAGAAAGGAGAAAGTCCCTTCATCTTTTTTCTTCCAAATCTTCCTTGACTGTATCTTCAACATTTCAACACAAAGGTAAAAGTTAAATAAAGGAGAATACAAGAATAACAACAAAGGATAAAAATTCTGTAAAGTTTATCTTTGTATAGATTAGAATATAGAGAAACTCCTTTTGGATTTGATGAAAGAAATAGGTAAAGAATTTTTAATTGTGATTAAGAAGGAAGGAGACATACCATAGGTATGTGTGAGTTTGAAAGAATAATGAGAATCCACATGTAGAATTGTGTACACAAACATGAAAATAGCAAATAAATGTGTTTTTTAGCAAAATACAATTTAAATTGATCCTCTGCAGAAGTGGAAATTTGAAAAGTTTAATGTAGAAGAAATCAGAAAGGTGGCTACGGACCTGTTGAGAAAAGCACAGATGAGAA